ACAGAAAAACCTTCTGTATAAAGTTCGAAATGGTGAATTGAGGTAGAGTAGACCGATGATCCTGTAGTCATTTGGCCGGCTATTTAAAGAAAAAGCTTGCATCTGCTCTCCCTATTCGTTAATCTAAAAATAGATGAGAGTTCCAGACGGATCAGATCACTCGCTGATAGGGAACGCTTTGCCTTGTACCAAAATTGGCAATTTGGCTCAGATAACCCGCGTAAGTGCCCCCCTGTAGCGCATGCCCCTTCGGATAGAAAAGAAATCCCCGAATCGTATGTCTTCTTTCAAAGACAACTTGAGGGGAATACCCGTCCGCCACAAGTGCGACCTCTACGTGTCTTTCGATTGAAAGTTGACTCTGGACGAAGGAGTCGAGGATTCACTCGTTATAAGCTACGCCCCTCCAGTTCGACCTCAATCGAGCATCGAGATCTTCCCGCCGGCTGTTGTCATCGAGAAGTGGAGGCTCCAGTTTGGGAATCACTGGTTGCTGATTCACGCTCGCTTCGCTGGATTCGTTTGAAGATGGCATAGATTGTAACAAAACACCTTCTTCGAAACTTCTCCAGCCCGAGGTCGATGCGCCGTCAGAGGGTTGCTCCGCTGCAGGATTGGCAGCAGGTTGACCTCCTGCTGGATCCATCATGTTCAGGGTAGACTTATCGAGGCCCGAAAGAAGACAAAGAAGAATAATTAGGGGAACCTCCCAACCAAAAAGTCGAATGAAGAGTAATCAGAATAATCGAACCAAAGGGACTTTATCCCCCAAAAGATTGAAATCTAAGCCGATTATTAGAGCTAAGAAATAGCCAAAAATCAGGAAGAATAAAACGATTGAAATTCTGACCAAAGAATTAGACATTCGAAGACCCCAGTTACTCATATAAGCACCCTCGTACATCTCCCTCATCTTTTTGCAAAAAGCCGCTCCACGGTGGTAAAGTCTCATCTTATCCTCTTTCTGAGTCATAACTTTTCCTAGAAATCCTCCTCTTCCTGTTCTATTGATCAAAAATATCCAGCAGCAGCAAGATAGCGCCGGTTTATAATTCGCGAGAGATTTAAGTACGCTAAGTGAAACAGTCGATTTGCCTATTTTCTTTTTATTTTATAAATTAAATATTTATATGGGGCGTGCAACACTTTTCGATGTCACACACAAGCATCAGGCTACTAAGACTTTAGTATGTACGAGCGGTGTTGAACCCTCTAACACCATGTCACCGATGTTCATGACGCTGCGAAACCTTCCCGACGGCTGGAAAATCTAGAACGCGCTGAACGATGGCGTCCTAATGGCGTCATTGTCGTTGTCATTGCTGGAGGAGAGAAGCTGACCAGGAACTCCAACGTGACGCGGAAGAGGAATGGAATTCCTGGTAGGATTCTTACCGCTCAAGGAGCAGATCCCTCAGGAGGTCGTCCAAAGCCCGAATCCGGTCTCGGGTATTTTGCATGTTGCCACCCGCTCCAGATTGATGAGCGAACGACGGGGATTGAACCCGCGCGTGGTGGATTCACAATCCACTGCCTTGATCCACTTAGATACATCCTCCCCTACCCCCGCATTGGTTTTAGTCTCTATCTACGATCAGATTATTTCTGAACCCCCCTATGACCGCTATCAAAGAGAAGCTTTTTCCTATACTATAACTATAGTAGTAGCAAGTCTATTTCTTGTTTTTTGGAATTAGGGGAAGCAAAGCTTCAAACAAAGAGGTTGGGCTGTTCACTTCATTGATTTGACTTCACTTGACTTAAGATTAAAGATAGGGGCCGGGCGGGCAGTGAAGGCTCGTTTAGTAGACAGCAAGCTCCGCTTTTTGAAGCGAGCCCCCAGAAAGCCATTTCACGCTAGCCTCTTGTATAGGGTTCCCTGCGCACCCCAAAACTACAAGCTAGCTTTGAAGCCCCTACTTTCTCAATGGTTGGGATATTTAAAGAAGCCCCTTTCTATAATATATATAAGGGAAGCTCTTCGAGCTTTCTTCGCATGCTTGAGCTTTCCCCTTTCTATTAGTAAGGTTGTCAAAAGGTAGGTTTCTTACTCAGTGCTTGTGCTAAGGAGCTTCTTTATCAAAGTAAACTTTCTTGCTTCTTGCTTTAGTAAAGATTGCAGGGGCGCGTAAGTGCCCTTCCTTCAATGGCTTACTTAGTCATGAATAGCGCGTTCCAGATTTGCCAGCCGTCGGGAAGGTTTCACGGCGTCATGAACATCAGTGCCATGGTGTTAGAGGGTTCAACACCACTCGTACATACTAAAGTCTTAGTAGCCTGTTGCTTGTATGTGACATCGAAAAGTGCTGCACGCCCCATATAAATATTTAATTTATAAAATAAAAAGAAAATAGGCAAATCGACCGTTTCACTTAGCATACTTAAATCTCTCGCGAATTATAAACCGGCGCTATCTTGCTGCTGCTGGATATTTTTTATCAATAGAACAGGAAGAGGAGGATTTCTAGGAAAAGCTATGACTCAGAAAGAGGATAAGATGAGACTTTACCACCGTGGAGCGGCTTTTTGCAAAAAGATGAGGGAGATGTACGAGGGTGCTTATATGAGTAACTGGGGTCTTCGAATGTCTAATTCTTTGGTCAGAATTACAATCGTTTTATTCTTCCTGATTTTTGGCTATTTCTTAGCTCTAGTAATCGGCTTAGATTTCAATCTTTTGGGGGATAAAGTCCCTTTGGTTCGATTAGTCCGATTACTCTTCATTCTACTTTTTGGTTGGGAGGTTCCCCTAATTATTCTTCTTTGTCTTCTTTCGGGCCTCGATGAGTCTACCCTGAACATGATGGATCCAGCAGGAGGTCAACCTGCTGCCAATCCTGCAGCGGAGCAACCCTCTGACGGCGCATCGACCTCGGACTGGAGAAGTTTCGAAGAAGGTGTTTTGTTACAATCTATGCCATCTTCAAACGAATCCAGCGAAGCGAGCGTGAATCAGCAACCAGTGATTCCCGAGCTGGAGCCTCCGCTTCTCGATGACAATAGCCGGCGGGAAGAGCTCGCTGCTCGATTGAGGGCGAACTGGTGGGGCGTAGCTTATAACGAGCGAATCCTCGACTCCTTCGTCCAGAGTCAACTTTCAATCGAAAGACACGTAGAGGCCGCACTTGTGGCGGACGGGTATTCCCCTCAAGTTGTCTTTGAAAGAAGACATACAATTCGGGGATTTCTTTTCTATCTGGAGGGGCATGCGCTGCAGGGGGCACTTACGGGGGTTATCTGAGCCAAAATGCCAATTTTGGTACAAGGTATAGCGTTCCCTATCAGCGAGTGATCCGATTCGTCCGGAACTCTAATCTATTTTTAGATTAACGAATAGGGAGAGCAGATGCAAGCTTTTTCTTTAAATAGCCGGCCAAATCACTACAGGATCATCGGTCTACTCTACCTCAATTCACCATTTCGAACTTTATACAGAAGGTTTTTCCGTACCAGCTCCTTCTACCTATACCTCAGTTGAAGCACCTAAAGGAGAATTTGGTGTCTTTCTGGTCAGTAATGGAAGCAATCGTCCCTACCGTCGTAAAATAAGAGCACCTGGCTCTGCCCATTCACAAGGACTCGATTCTATGTCCAAACATCACATGCCAGCAGATGTGGTCACCATCATAGGTACTCAAGATATTGTGTCTGGAGAGGTGGATAGATAGGACTGCTAGTTGCTCGATCAGGACCCTAGCTTTATTGCGAGCCAAAAACCTTGATGGATTCCCCTTTTGAGGTATTACCCCTGTAAAATTCATTTAAAAAAAATTTGGAATTCTCTGTAAGAGCTGCGGAACTAACAACTCTATTAGAAAGTCGAATTACCAACTTTTACACAAATTTTCAAGTGGATGAGATCGGTCGAGTGGTCTCAGTTGGATATGGGATTGCACGTGTTTATGGATTAAACGAGATTCAAGCTGGGGAATTGGTTGAATTTTCCAGCGGTGTGAAAGGAATAGCGTTGAATCTTGAGAATGAGAATGTCGGAATTGTTGTCTTTGGTAGTGATACCTCTATCAAAGAAGGAGATCTTGTCAAACGTACTGGATCTATTGTGGATGTTCCTGCGGGAAAGGCTATGCTAGGGAGTGTGGTCGATGCGTTGGGAGTACCTATTGATGGAAGAGGGGCTCTAAGCGATCACGAGCGAAGACGTGTCGAAGTGAAAGCCCATGGGATTATAGAACGTAAATCAGTGCACGAGCCTATGCAAACTGGGTTAAAAGCGGTAGATAGCCTGGTTCCTATAGGCCGTGGTCAACGAGAACTTATAATCGGGGACCAACAAACTGGAAAAACAGCTATAGCTATCGATACCATATTAAACCAAAAGCAAATGAACTCAAGGGCCACCTCTGAGAGTGAGACATTGTATTGTGTCTATGTAGCGATTGGACAGAAACACTCAACTGTGGCACAATTAGTTCAAATTCTTTCAGAAGCGAATGCTTTAGAATATTCCATTCTTATAGCAGCCACCACTTCGGATCCAGCACCTCTGCAATTTCTGGCCCCATATTCTGGGTGTGCCATGGGGAATTATTTCCGCAATAACGGAATGCACGCATTAATAATCTATGATGATCTTAGTAAACAGGCCGTGGCATATCGATAAATGTCATTATTGTTACGCCGACCACCAGGCCGTGAGGCTTTCCCAGGCGATGTTTTCTATTTACATTCCTGTCTCTTAGAAAGAGCCGCAAAACGGTCGGACCAGACAGGCGCAGGTAGCTTGACCGCCTTACCCGTTATTGAAACACAAGCTGGAGACGTATTGGCCTATATTCCCATCAATTTTATCTCCATTACGGATGGACAAATATGTTTGGAAACATAGCTCTTTTATCGCGGAATTAGACCTGCTATTAACGTCGGCTTATCTGTCAGTCGCGTCGGGTCTGCCGCTCAGTTGAAAGCTATGAAACAAGTCTGCGGTAGTTTAAAACTGGAATTGGCACAATATCGCGAAGTGGCCGCCTTTGCTCAATTTGGCTCAGACCTTGATGCTGCGACTCAGGCATTACTCAATAGAGGTGCAAGGCTTACAGAAGTACTGAAACAACCACAATATGCACCACTTCCAATTGAAAAACAAATTCTAGTAATTTATGCAGCTGTCAATGGATTCTGTGATCGAATGCCATTAGACAAAATAGCTCAATATGAAAGAGACATTCTAAGCACTATAAAACAAGAATTACTACAATCACTAAAAGGTGGACTAACTGGCGAAAGAAAGATAGAATCGGATGCATTCTTAAAAGAAAAAGCTTTGTCCTTAATTTAATTTTCATGATGATTTTTGTTTAGATGATATATTAAAAAAAAGTTGGATCTGGATGGAATCGACCTTCTCCTTTTTTATAGGCCACCGCATATCGTATAAAGTTTTGCTTTAATGATATGCATTAATACGCTCTCTAAGTGAGGAGACTGGAGCTCCAGCTTAGAGACGCTCCCTAGGCCAGAGGTCGGGGGGAAGCCCAGAGAGAGGATATTTTAGGTTTGTCTCCCAAGGATAGCTCCTTTGTTTGAGAGCCTTTACACGAGTTCGTTTAAAAGTCGTTTTTTTCCCTCAAAATAAAGTTCCTCGTCTCTGTCGTCGTATGCTTAATGGTGTTTAGAGGGCCAACTATAGGGGAGGGGGTGAGTCCAAAGAATGTGTGTTAAGCGCATTTAGCGATTGATTCGAACACGGGACACCAGCCTTGAAGAAGGGTCGGGGTATGCTCCGGGTAGTTTGAACCCTGAGGAGGAGGGTGAGAGTTCAGTAGGACTCTTAGAATGGGCCGGGAGAAACCTCTTTGATGAGGAGTAGCCGAGTTAGTACAGTATACATATTTTTGGTCCGAGAACTACATCTGGTTTGATGTCGAGTCCATGTCCATGTCCAGGTGCAGGGCTTGTCTATGTAGGCCATGGGTTTTATTAGAAGGCCCACTCAACCATAAATAAGGGAAATCAATATAATCGGATTTGCCTATACGGAGAAAAAGGGGGCTATGCTGCAACTTGACAACAAAGAAGGCAAGCTGACGAAAAGCAGCAATTCGCTTTTTTTGATAGATAGTACCTCACCCGCGATAGAGTAAGAAATTTGAAGGTAGAGGCAATCCGTATGTGCCCATGCCGGCAGAGAAAGACGATCCAGGCAAATGAAAGCAGGAATCGAGAAAGACGACTCATTCTTACTTGCAATGAAAGTCTAATATAGGAAGCGATCTGTGAGCGTCTGCCGCATCTCCATCTTATGCTCCAATCCGGGATCTTCCTCCAGGTCGAGAAGATGCTCCGCGGTCCATCTCTCCAGTTAAATATGATGATGACAAGGCCATCCCTGTGGACGAATCTGAACACTCAGATGGGGATGCCAAAGCAGTGGTCCGATGATGTGAGAGACCTCAAGAAGGTTAAGGTGCCACCAATGGATATACAGCTGGTAGTCTCTCTTAAATAGAATACAGGCCCTTTCAAAGTACGAATTCGGGGTTTATTTATCAACGTTGCGTCACCTTGATCCCTCGGCAACCTCGCAAGTAACTTTTCCCGAAAGAGCTATGGCGGGGCAGAGCTTGGAGCACTTAGTCGAAGCATCTTCGCCACGCGAGTACGGGCATATCATAATCTAATTGGATAAACTCTCATGTGTGAAATAGAATTTAAGTTATAGAGAACTTAAGAAGTAGTAGAAAGCGCCCAACCAAGAGGTGATGACGCTGGTGTGAGAGATGTTGTGGTAGATAGGTAATTTGGTTTTTATAACCAACATTATATACGATGAATGAGATTCCAATGAGAGAGTCGAGAGCCAAAGAAGACCTTCGACTTGTCTTGTCAGGATTATGGAACTGGCCTAAAATTTCAGCATAGTCTTTCAAGATCTTAAGAATCTCCTTGGCATTAGAAATAGATGCCGCGCAGAAAAGCAGAATGTCATCAGCATACAATAAGTGGGACGGGAAAGGCAAACCCCGGACCGATACAAATGCAAAGAACCCGCCGAGCTTAAAGGTCAATATATCGGCACTTCCCCTGCAACACAAAATAACAACGGAGAGAAAGGGTCTCCTTGTCGAACTCCTCGCGAACAGGTTAAATAGCCCGCTGGAGAACCATTAATAAGAATCGACATATGTATGAGCTGAATGGAAAATCAAATAACACTGATCCAGTCGAAGAAAACCTGCTTCAGAGTGAGTACTCCGCCTAGCCTATCTTACGGCCGACCCCCTTGGAATGGAAGGCGCTAGCTTTCTATAATTCTAAAAGCAAAGCAAATAGACCACTCCCTCTTTTCTAGGGCTGGAAAGATTTACTCTATTTTTAGGTATGACGGAAAGACATTTGACAACCGTAGCTTATGTGGTTACGAGTCGGGGTACAATAGTGATTCGCTATTCTAGGATGACTTCAAAGGCATCTCGTCCTCAAAAGAGGAAGGGAAGCAAACCACCCTCTCAAGAGGGGTTGGGGCAAGGGGTGATCGGTCGTCTAGTGGAGCTACACAGCAAGCCACTATATGCGCTACTCCGAATTATTCTTCTGAGACTTCCGCCTCTTTTCCCAGCTATCCCTCTTTCCCTAGTGTCGCAGTCTCGCGGATTCTCTTTATTGTGACTTATTGTGTTGGAAAGTCTCTTCTTCTTTCCTGCCTACGGGCCAAATACCTGTGAGGAGCCTTGTCGAAGCAGGAAAAATATCTTTTTATCTTCCGAAAGGAGGCTAAAACAGCCAAAGCAATATATTCAGAAACCGTCTTTAGATCCTAACATTGTTATGAGAAATGTTTCATATGGGCTAATCTCCGCCGAACCTGTGCAATAAAGGGAAGAATAAGTCACCACCATAAAGTATGGATCACAATAGTCACTGAACGAAAGAGGTGTTACCTTATTATACGCCATTTCCTAAATAGAGTTTCAAACTGGGGTTAAACAGGATCAAAATAGTGGCACTAATCAATGATATAAAGAGAACTCCCTTCCAATCCCAATTATTTCTTCCCCCCAAACCCTATACCCAGACAGAAGGAATGCTTGGGCAGGAAGGAACTACGCGCGGGCAAAAAAAGAATCCAAAACCAGCACTCCTTCTCGGGCGGAATTGGACAGATTGAAGCTTCTTTTCTTTTTGCCGGAGGGCCACGCGAGAAAAGCGGGTTTGAAGCCAATTGAAGCTCGAGACCTAAGATAAGGTATGCGCCCGGTGAATGCGACTGATATTTTCCTGCGCCTGCCTATTATTAAAAAAAAGGAAAGCACTTGAACCGGCCAAAGGAGGACTCATTCAAGACAACTTCATAGGTGTTAAAGACTAGCTTGATGACAATACCTCTTTCTCAGTGGGCTTTTAGTCTCAAAAGGCTTCATTCTTTGTTTGCTGTTGTGACTACCCATCATCATACCGAGATGAACTAGTGTTAGGACAAGAGGTGGTAGACCTCGTCGTAAATTGATATTTGCATATTTAAAGACGAGGAATAGCGAGTCGATAATGCTTGAAAATAGGCAAATTTTATGATTGCACAAGATAGCGAAAATATGTTATATAGAGGGAAGCGGTGCCATCAAATCGTGAGTAATGGCAGTGAAACCAAAAAGGTAAGGTCTTGCAGAGCCTCAATTGGAATCATAGGGTGGGCGGTCTGCGCGTATCAGGATATGGTATGGATTCTCATTCCTTTCTGGAAGCCTAGGCATAAACTAGGAGGGGTCCGGCTCACTTTTTTACATACGTTCTTTCTTCTTTTCAGAAGGTCTAGAGTAGGGAATCGAAAGATAATATTTCCGAATTGATGAGAGAAGAGGGCGCTAGTTCAGATAGCGAAGAAGAGCTAGCTTGCCTATTTCCAACGGTTAGACAAATGGTTGGAATTTAGATGGTTCCTTTGGGATCTCGTCAATTCATTTCTTTGTTCGCCTAGCAGTCTTTGCTTCCAGTACACCTTGAATTCTCTTTTGTATCGCATCTTTTCCTAGGACGGCAGTACACTCTGAGCGTGCATCCTATCTATGTGCATTCACCCTCTCCTAACAGGATAAAAAAAGATCCAAGCTATCTACCCTATTAACCCAATACTGACTAGTTGAACTCAACCCTTAGCTCTCACTTTAAGCATTGAATGAATCCATATGGCCTAGTTCAATGATTGAGTACTTGTGCTGTGTAGCCATAGTTTCGTAGTCTTTGTTAGTTTATTGTTTGGTTGAGTTATTAGCACCCTTAACCTGCTACATACGACTGGAAGCAAGCGTGCCAGAGCTGGGTCAGCGAGTGAGTGATTAGTAGTACATTAAGGGCGAGAGTAGCGGCTTAGGTTATCGATTACCGACTTCTCCTTCCGGGATAGAGAGTATGCATTGTACGATTGCTAAGTGTTAAGCATATAGCCAGGGCCAATTGCATTTATTTAGGCAGTTGGTCAAACTGCCGACTAAGTAGCAGGAATTACTTGACCTCAGCCTAACAACCTTATCCTAGTCCGATCACTTATTCTCGCGGGCCTGGAAGGCTGCATTGGAGTATGCACGTATATCGTAGTATACATACAAGGTTCTTCTCTTTCTCCGGGAATACTTTCCGAATAGAGTTTGTCTGTCTCCTCTTTCGATTCGGAGCGGCGGTCTTGGTTTTGGAGAATGCTTTGGGGTTCACCCCCTCTTGTCTCTAATAAAAGCCGCTAGGAAAAGCTCTTTCATCAGGGGTTGGGGCATTTCCTAACAGGTTTGTCCTGGGGAACTTTCGATCTGGCCCTTCCTTTTCATCTGTCTTCTGCCACTAAGTACGCGTACTACCTGTACCCCTTCTGCCAAGGGCTTAATTTCCTTCTTAATCCGCTTAAGCAGAATTAGAAATGTCCTTTTCGCTCTTTTATGAAGGAGAAGCGCGTATATCTTTTATCTATGCTTGGCTGGTGGTATAGGATAGGATGAGCTAACTGAAGCAGTGATGAGCTAGGATAAACGCTTTATCGACCCGGTTTAGAGGCAATAAAGTAGAAAGATAGGTTTAAGATTGGCTCTCTATAGTTATATTTAGGAAAGCTCAATCTCTCCATGAACCCTTGCTGCAAAAGTCATGTCACTCCCGCTCGGCGAATCAATCGCAAGTCCCAACCCAGAAAAAGAGGCAGAGTGAAAGGAAAGGCGGATTTACTAATTGGTTGAAGAAGTTCCGGAGGGGAGGTTAACAGAAGGCATGTTCTCATCCATAAGCAAGGAATTAAAAGGCCCATAATATCTACTAACGACTATGGTTGGGGGGAAGATGTAGGAATCGATAAAGTCTTCATCTTCCGGAATTCCGGGCTTAGGTCCCCGCGCAGGGGTGATCCTTCTCAGACCTTTCTCCGGAGACCGTAATAAAGAGTCTTTGCTTACTTACATTATAAACGCGCTTCACTCTAAAGAGTTAAGTAATGAATCCTATTTTCCCGAGCTTGCCTGGCTGGAAACGCCCAACGACTAGTAAGTGTAGTTAATTATGTCTAAAACTTTCTTTAAATCTTTCTTTATTGGATGGATATTATTGAAAGGCTCAGTGTGCTTATGAACATAGGGGTTGGTTCCAGAGAACCAGATAGGAAGAAAAGACCCAGAGGATTCTTTTGAAGCAACATGACTAGACTCAACTCACGGATTTGTATTGAAAACTTTTTTCATTGGTAGTTGGAGTACCAAACCGGTCTAATCTCTTTCTACGACAAGCGCCATCGCCTTTTTCACTCTGGATTAGCCCTCAGTAGCATTCCCAACTACAAGCTTTTATTCTTCATTTTTGTTTCTTTGACTAGGAATTACTCCCTTTTTTACCCTATCCAATTCTTTACTTATAGTCTCTAACTTTGTATCTGATGTTCCTGCACCCTTTGCTTTAGCATATCCATCTGGATGGCAGTGAAGAAGCATAATAGCCTTCTCCATAAGTCTAACTATAACCATTGGTTCAATGTAATTAGGATCACCTTATATCTTTGGACTTCTTATCTACATCACCTGAGACTTGGGGTTCTTCTTCAACTGTCTCAGAAACCTAACATTTCTCTGTCAAGGATGAGGAGCCATCACTCTGACTGCCAGAACAGAACAAGGACCTTCTCTGATGACGCAACCTTCAAGAAGGGAATTCAGAATCATAAGACGACTTTGCAACAAAGAGAAAAATAGTGCTTTCTCAGAAAAGAAAGAGAGATTGACATTCCTCCGATCAGCATGAGAGCTCGATCCAGCTGAAAGCTATCCCTCAGAAAGTCCTTATAAACAAACTGCTCCTCTATATGCTCCGAGACCCTCTCCTTGATCGAGGGAAGATGTGTGGTTCTCTGCTTCAGCCGCGGCTGAACACCGGAATTCCAAGCAAAGACGTTAGAGGATACTGCATCTCGTAATGGTAGAAAGAGGAAAGGCTAAGCGAAAAAGGTTAAGATTGCTTAATGAGTTATGGCCACTAGTCATTCGGATTTATCCTGACTCATGTCAGTATTATCATAGGGCATTTAGCTAGCCTATATCTCCGCTTTCGCTTCCATACTCAACCGTCTCTCTCCTTAGTCCGATCTAGCCTCTATTGATTGAGAGGGTTGAAGACTCCTTTGATTTTTTTAATGCAATTAAGAATTCCACGGAACTTTATCGATTCCAACGCAACTTATCCTTTTGGAGCTGACGTAACAAACTACGCGAGCCTCCCGACGAAGCCAACATAAATCCTATCCGAATAAAAAAAATAAAAGGCAGTTTAATTATGGTGGTATACCAGTCGCCTGTTCTGGAACTTCCAGTTCCAATCGAAGCATATCTATCCGTAAATGGATTTGTATGTATAGCCACTTCAGTCGTGCTCGTTGTTTCTCTAAAGTATCTTTTTTCTGGGAACATGGTCAACCATAAATTATTATTTTGGCTATTCTTCATCCACCGATGCAGAAAATTATCCAGTTTTCCATTCTCATATGAGGCCGAAAAGTTTATTGGCAACAGGTCGGCACGAAGTGATTCATCATGCTCAAACATGAGGCGATCGTTCGTTAGGGACGATTTATAGATCAGAAAGTTCCCACAAATGGAATGAGAAGTGGGTCCATGTAAATGATCGAGACCTCGGAAACAATAACGCTCCTTCCCCATATGGAGTTCGGAACCCAAAGGCAATCGTTGAGTGAACTGTATCTTCTTTGTGTTAGTTGACCTAAGCCGCACCATTACTGCTGGGGTGGGGCTCGGCCTCCGAACCGTACGTGGGGCGAGTTTCAGCCTCATACAGCTCGGGCCGAAGACCGGGGGAAGTTTAGGAGAGATGGGGAGACCCAGCAGCTGCCGGTCGGGGGCGGGGATAAGCTTGTGAAGAAGCGAATCCCCCCCAAAATCCATTTATATACTATAGCGCTAGCGCTTCGCGTTCTTTCTATTTCATCCCTTTTTTTTCGGGATTAGCGGAGGATACTAATCTAATAAGTGAAGTAGTCGTCGTCTGACCAATTGGCTCGGACACCAGACCACTCGTGCCCGCCCACTCTGTCTCACCCTAAATGGAATGGCTCTCTTAGTTACGCTACGCCCCGGTCTGAGTCCCCACGTCCGCTCTTCTCTGCCCGTAACCTAATAAGTTGGCTTTGCCAACACAACATTAGGGTCGTCCCCTTCATTCTATGCCGACCCCGGCCCGGGGCTGGCTTTTTGGGAAGCCCGTTCCCACCTTGCTCACGGCCCGGCTAGCCTTCCAACGGTAGTGGTAATTTTCCCGTTCCCTGGTCAAAGACTTGGTTGGATGCGGGATCTACTCCGCGAGGAGCGGTACGGATGTAGATGATATCATCACGACCTCTCTTTTCGTACCGCTAGGGATGCTTAACGCCACTTCGCCAACTGGCATTACCTGCGCTTTCGTCTCTCTCAGTGTGGTTAGCACTGGGTGTTTCCGAGCTGCGAGGCTTACACCCATTCGCATTAGTTCATCCAAAGTTCCTTACCCTTATGCACGAATTATTGAATAAGCCATCTTCCTATCAAGGTTCAGGAGTCAACTGAGCATCTCAGCGGCGGGATTGAATACCCGGATCGAGTCAGAGTTCACGCCGCCCGCCCCGAACAAATAGGAGGCATGGGCCACAGGTCGCACATAAGCCGCCGGGTCGCACGATAGAAGAACACCCAAAATACAGATGCACACTCCAAAATGTGAAATATTCATCTTCATTGGAGCTTTTTGGTGGTAGTCGTGACCAACAGCCATCAGCTGTCGGCTCATTGGTAAGGCGAGAGCTTCAAGCCCGATTTCAGGTTCAGGTGGCACACCCCCCACACAAGCAACACCCAACGAAGGGGGGACGGGGAAAGCTACAGGCCCAAAACCTTCGACCCTTCTTTCTAAATGGGGGTGCCCGGAGCACCCCATCCTGTCATTTTGTTGTTGCTCATTCCCGTTAGGGTTAGGCCGAAGTCTTTGGTGTATCCTTATCCGCGTCCGCTCACGCTTTGCTGACCTATCGCGTGGTAAAGAGAAGAGAGTACGAAAGAATAGTAAACAGAGCACACCGCAGAAAGATTCTAAATATGAGAAGTCCCCCTTGGATTCGATAAGAAGGAAATGAAGAACGGGAACAAAACGAAATGAGGCGTTTCCAGCTCTAGTTTCGGATGAGCTTCTCCCAATTATGTCTGGTAATAGAATATGGCGGCTTGCTCTGACCAAGACTCCACTTTTTGCTCCGTCCATGGAGCGTATGAATTTCCTGGAATGTAGATAGACCAAAAGAGGGAATGAAGGGATAAGAATAGGAATTAGAGTCCCATTGGAAAAAGGAGCACCTGTGGGAACATCTCTACTGACGAACCATTTCAATAGTAAGGGTGCTGTCGTGCCACGAGGCACGACCATATAAGTAATGAAAAAGAAAAAGTTATGTAGTTGGACCATCTGCTCTATCCGTTCGAGTTTCGCTTCTCTAGATAAGATGAGACGCTAAAAATGAAAGTGTTCGCAACGCATACCGAAAGGATACCAATGAAGCCGACCATTAATGACTAGTTCGAACACCATGAGCGGTCTGATCCCTGATTTGATCAAACAGACTGCTCTTAGAAAGATGAAATAAAAGCAAACTCTCCAAATTGTTGACCAACCTTTCCTTCAATGGTAGAGGCAAGAAGACTTTCTGGCCAGGACTTACTATAACCAACCTCACAGATCCCACTCCATCTTTTACACCGATGTATCGTACTCTATCGACCAGGTCATCATAAGAAAATACTGCGAAATCTTTCCGAAGTGAGAGAAGGAGGGAAGGCACGCTACAACTAACATAACAGCCAGCTGAAAATGCTAGCTAGCTAGGCTAGCGCGCAATGGCTTTATCTGATAGGGGCTCGCTTCTTCAAGCTTCGCCCAACCTATACAAGGTGCTGCTCGCTTTCTCTCAGCCACCAGTGGCTTATGTAGTGGCATTCCTACGTGCTCCTCTTTGCCCCATACTTAAGAATCCAAAGGTGACCTTTGGCTGTTGTCTTGACGCTTTGGTTACGAAAGTAGCCGGGGTCTAGGTTTATTGATGGATTTTGTCAGCGAAAGTCCCTCAAACTCAATCAATATCAACAACATGTCGTGACCGGTTAGGCTTGGTGGATTTTGTCAGAAAAGAAAGTAGGTTTTGGGGGTGGGTTCATTGATTAGTACACCTCCGGTGCTGATAAGGTCGGGACCGTGGTCGTCCGTCTCAGGTTTGCCGGCCGATAAGATCTCTGAGATTGACCAGCCAACTGGGTTGGTTTGGCTATTCCTTTCTATTGAAAAGAAGGAGTCAGCTGTCTGCGTGAGTCACCTTCTTCTAGGCTCCGCTGGACGACACGACATTCTCGTTTAAATATAGGCATGTCGCACTTGTGATGGTTCCCCAAGATCCAATATATATGACCACTTAGGTCTACATTGCCACGATATTGTTCTATGGAAGCGGGCGGGCTGTTAGAAGTTCGGCCCGGTTTTTTTTAGTGTCGTAGGGGAGGGATTTACCTTTTTAACGCATATTCACTCGTACCGGCATAGCCCCACTGATTTGTTTTCGATCGGAGCATCAAGCAGCGCAACCCGGTTCTACTTGACTAAGCCTCGTGCTCATCCAAGGAGGGAGTTTGCTTTACCCAACTCCCTTTTTGATAACAAGGCAGAAACCCCCGACATTCATTAGTTTCGAATGAAGAATGAAGAGTGCCCCAGCAAGCACCTACTCCTATCAAAATTAAAAGCGTTACTTTACTAAACAAGCAATAAAAGCTCTTTACTAATAACATAGAAAGGGCTTTTCTCGCTTGTAGCTTTCTTCGCATGCTTGAGCGCATTAATAGAATACATATAAAATAAAAAATGAACTTGAGTTTTCAATAAGGCTCGCGTAGGGGCGCTCACGTTTTTTGGCTTACCTAAAATCTAAGATTTTTAAGTTGGTAAAGACCCACCCCTTGTTTCAGTCAGAATGAGTCCCCGGGACCCCAGGACATTGGCTTCCGCCAACAGTGGACTATTAAGGATCGCATCCCGCGCATATTCTACATTATAGCCTGCAACTGATTCAGCTTCCGCTTTTGGGAGATCAAACGAAGCTAGATTAGTTTCTGCTAGACGAGAAATGAAGAACATAACCAATACAGGGAACAAGGGAATACCTGACCATATCTGCTTTTGCGCCATGACAATCTCACTCGAATTACGGGGACCTACACATATTAGTACAGTATACCGGAGTCCCCGGCCAGAACCACACGTGCAAGTTTCCCTGCATGTGGCTCGTCCGCGCTTTCCGAGGCGCTGCCTGTGACTCAACATGGGATAAGAGGGCATCACGTCACACTTTCGTGTTTAGAGCATTGTCCGAGTGAATAGGCAGCGCCTACCAAGCAAAGCTTTCTTGAAGAGGCTGGTTCCTTTTCGGTTCGGCGCCCGCATTTTTTTAGATGTAGGGGCAAGGCAAGCCCCAGGAAATTCTGGCTCCCAGCTAAATCTCGGCCGGCATCCAGCTCTCGAGGGGGTGGGGTCCTGGAGCGAACTACTCATTGCAGTCTTGCCCCAACCCAAGGCCGTTAAGGTTGGTGAGGAGCATTGTTTCGAGGGAGGGAAAGCGTGGCTGACAAGCCACTTCGAGGAAGCGACTGGAGTGGTGGCCCGATTCGTCCTGGCCTGGTCGGGAAGAGATTCACATAGATACTTTTGCTATTCGGGAATCTCTTTCTATGTTAGCTAGCGGGGGCAGGCTTTCCTATGATAGTCCCGCTGCGGCCTCTGACCGTCCGTTACGTCTCATCTTGATTTGGCTATACTTGTATGTAGCTAGCCATGTTAGCTTCACATGAGAGAGCCCTTTTTTTAAGGCTAAAAACTCATCAGTTAGCTCGGCCCCTTTCCTATTCAGCTTTGCCGCCTATTAAGAGAATAGGTACCGTTCAAGCGGCCCGCCTTTATTCATCTATACCAGCTGCCCCACGCACGACCCAATAGGAATGATTTCAGCGCCCCTATCTAGATAAGAAGCAGAACGCGCCATCACCTACAGCCCTTTCCTCTGCCGGGGACTTCCACGAAATGAAAACTGGCAGCATCATCGTATGCTCGACATTGGTTGCACTGGTTTATATCCCGTAGTACTCCTATGGCCGATCTGTCACCCAACCTACTCAAAAATCTAAAGGCTTGACCCCGTCCCGTTTGGAGAATGACCCTTATGGCATGGCTTAGTCAGTTATTATCGCAGTTCAGATAAGATTCGGACCGCCACTTCTCTGAAAGCATGGTTCTTTCCTTCCTCTTTCCTCCCTCCTTGGAGCTCGTCCATTCGTTAGGTGATCCCTTGCTCTCACATTCGAGTGTTTGCTCGTCGTTTAGGCCGGTTAGTTAGATTTCCGCTCATTGCAGTCACCTCCGGGGTTCTTCGCACCTGGATAGTACCAGGACCCTTGTGCCCCGGCCCTTGATCAGATAAATCCGCCCTTAAACCAAAAACTAAAAATGAGCCTTGCGACGAGACGCGAACATCCCCCATGCTGCGGTTCCCTTCGGTCCGTTCCCGGGTTGGGTTAGGGGAACATCCGAGCGATTGCCTTCGCGGATCCAAACGCGCTCACAAGGCGCACAATAAGAATAAGACCATTAGAGACTTCATAAGAGACCATTTGAGCTGCAGATCATAATGCTCATAGAAAGGCATATTTCGAATATAGAGGAGTGAAAGTTCCCAACAACGAGTTGATCATACCCTTCTTTGAACCGTACGAGCACGTCCTCTGTAACCCCCCCACCGCGCTTACGGCTCTATAACCTAACCCAACTTGCTCTGGCCCCTGGTCCTCCCTTTCTATTCCTCGGTAAGCGGACTGTGGGAGCATGAGGGGGGGCGATATCCGCTTTTGACTGATAGAAAGCATCTCTCTTTTGTCCCTCCTGATCAAACTCGAAAAGAATAACTTTATGCCACTTTGTACACTTTAGTGTAGGCACCTTCTTTAAACGTGCCAAGCTGTGGAAGAGAGGTGCCAGGGGAATCAATGCTCTCAGATGAAACAGGGCTTGAAGCCTTCGAAAAACCTTTATGCTCTTTTCTTCCTATCGAGTGGCGTCAACCGAACTGAAAAATAGAACAGTTGATCGAGCTCTTTGGTACGCGGCTAACCTTTTAAATGGAGTTGTTCTTGCTACTCCCATAAACTAAAGAAATAGGGTGGGTAGGATAAGGACTCTTATCATATAACTCTTTTTCTTGCTCTTCAGGTGTCCTTTTATTATCTCTTGGCCCGTTGCGCCTGTTTGACCAATGAGAGTCCAGACTTGAGCTCATCTGATTAATTCATTCTTCCATTCGTCAGTATCGTCAAAGCAGCTGAACTCAATCCCGATGGCTACCAGTGTCGATTGGCATTCCACTTCTATAAACTATATATATATATATATATATATATATATATATATATATATATATATATATATATATATATATATATATATATATATATATATATATATATATATATATATATATATATATATATATATACTACAGATGTGACCATGATTCTATCTTGGTGAGAGTGGCGTGACTTGAAGCTGCACGGAGACCATTTCCTTTTCTTGCTCTCGTGCTGGATGTCATCTCGGCATATCGGTCGGTTTAAGATGAATCTGGGGGAGGGAAATCCTCCATTGGCCGTTGACCTTTGATTCTCTTCTCTGAACAGCTCTTAGGCTAATATTGAGTTGAATTCGCTTCTCTTCCGTATTCCTCAGCTCGACTTTATGTTGCCGAAGCTATCTTGAGGCCCTTTCTTTCCGGCTTCCTTGAGTCAGCTCGGTAGCTAGTCTAGTAAAATAGCCTCTTCCCTTAACCTTAATAGGGCTTGCTCCCTCTTCTTGTCCACTCGGGAATGAAGCCTTACCTTTCGCTACTAACCTGTTAAATGGAGTTGAGCTGGCTACAAAAAAAATGGCTTCAGTGATGGTTGCTTCATCAAATATAGGTGGCAGGGTCAGACTTTGAGAAAGAGTCCACTGCTGTCCAGTCATAGTCACAGTAGGAGCAGCTCCGGCTCAGCTCGATCAAATTTAAAAATTTAACTCATGCCTTGTAGTACCTCGCTATCCTCTGTTGGTAAGTAGCCATTCAGAACTGAGCTTGCTTTCTTAACTCTTAAATTAGGTCGAAGTTGGTCCTCAACTCTTCTTCGTTGGAACCCACATTTTGAAAAGTTCTGTTAGGTTCTTAGTAGCAGTCGGCGACCTTTTCTTCCTTCTTTTACTTCACATAGCTTTTCTTCTCCTTGATAGCTGGAAGTTCTCCAAAAGTATGAAAAGCTGGAGGACTTTGTACCAGCCATTCCAGTGTGGTTGAATTTTGTTCAACAGCCCAAGGAATGTTCGCCCTTGTTATGTTATTTCCACTGTTTGAAGTGATTGTTACGACCACGAAGAAACGACGAATCCCAACTACAAATATATAAGAGCCAAAACTGCTAAGGGCATTCCATCCAGCGTAAGCATCTGGATAATCTAGAATGCGACGTGGCATACCCGAAAGCCCTAATAAATTCAAAGAAGAGTTCTTTTTATTACTCTAGGGCCTTTGGAAAAAGAGTAAGAACAGATAGTCATCGCCTTTCCCTTTCGACTGGCATTATCACACCACCATAAACAAATTAAATAGCTGCTCCTAGCCCGATTCCAAGACCTGGACCTGTTTCAGGTTTGAAAGCAGCCCTTATTCCATTCATTCCAGGGAGGGAATAGAAGAAAGCATATTCCGTTCAGTCGGTAATGAATCAATACGCAGGGAAACTTTCTTCCATGGGAATGGCAAGTCTCGGACAAGCTCATATTGGTTGGGTATGCTCTTTCCATAGGCGACTTTCCAGAAGGTCTTCAAGGTGGATATGCTCTTCTTCGATGGTGGGTCAGATTAACCCCGAAAAAAGTGATCCAAATATGGATTTGACCTAAAGTTTCAGAGTATGTCCGACCAAAGATTTTACCCACCCAATAGTGAAATCCTACAAATAAAGCAAAAACGGCTCCCACAGAAAGTACATAATGGAAATGTGCAACCACATAATAAGTATCATGTAGAGCAATGTCTAGCCCTGAATTTGCCGGGACTATTCCAGTGAGTCCTCCTATGGTGAACAAAAAGATGAACCCTACAGCAAATAACATGGGTGTTTTGTATTGTATTGAACCCCCCACATGGTAGCGATCCAACTAAAGATTTTAATTCCAGTGGGGACAACTATGATCATGGTAGCAGCGGTGAAGTAGGCACAGGTATCAACGTCTAAGCCCACAGTAAACATATGATGAGCCCAAACAAGAAATCCAAGAACACCTATACTGATCATGGCATAAACCATGCCTAGATACCCGAGGACCGGTTTTCCCGAAAAAGTCGAAACGATATGACTTATAATACCGGATCCAGGCAGAATTGGAATATACACCTCTGGATGACCGAAGAACCGAAAGAGATGCTGGTATAATATGGGGTCTCCCCCTCCTGTGGGATCAGAAAAGGTTGTATTAAAGTTTCGATCGGTTAATAACATTGTAATTGCCCCTGCCAGTATCGGAAGTGATAATAAAAGTGGGAATGTTGTTACTGGAACGGACCACACAAATAGGGGTGATCTATGCATAGTCATTCCAGGTCCATGCATGTTGGAGATAATTGTTATAAAATTGATAGAACCTAAAATGGATGAAACACCAGATAGATGAAGACTAGAAATTGCTGAATCAACTGCTCCTCCAGAATGGCTGGTAATACCACTTAAGGGCGGATAGACCGTCCACCCAGTGCCGCTACCCACCTCTACTAAGGCTGAGCTTAATAGGAGCAAGAGACTTGGCGGCAACAACCAGAATGAAATATTATTTAATCATGGAAATGCCATGTCAGGTGCACCTGTAAGAATCGGAACAGACTAATTACCAGATCCACCTATCATCGTCGGTATAACCATAAAAAATATCATTAAAAAAGCGTGAGCCATTATTAAAACATTATAAAGTTGATGATTCCCACCAAGAATTTGATCGCCGGGTCGTGCTAATTCCATACGAATCAATACTGAGAAGCATGTGCCCATCACTCCAGCAATGGCACCGAAGATGAAATATAGAGTCCCTATATCCTTGTGGTTAGTGGAGAACAGCCATCGGACCGGATTTGTCATAAAATGGAGATTCTTTCGTTTCCTTCCTTATCAGAGAGGGGCCCCTTCTTAGGGAGCGGGGCTTCCTTCTTGAAAAAGGGGGAGTGAGAGGGGAAGGGAGAATGAAAAGAGGGGTGGGGAAGGTCCGGAAAGCCCTCACTTTATTGATGGGAAATTTTGATCCCCTTTTCTTTCCTCTCCCCCCCGGTTATGGTTCAGGAAAGGGTCAACGCAAGGATCTTACTTCGAAGCAATCTTTGGAGTTTTCCCTTATCCGAACGGGTCTTGCAAAAAAATAAGATTTCATATTGAGCTCCAAATAAACGCTATTGGGATAGGATGGTTCCTACTAGCTCTCCCCCTAAGAACTGCACATGCGAGTTCCCCCGCATACGGCTCAAGTGGCGAAGGTTTAAAGACGCTCGACCCAAACAAGCAACGACGAGCCCCTATCAGAGAAAGCCTTGGTCAAGCGCACTAGCACGCTTTACTTGGAGGTTCGCGCATCCTCTTGCTGGGAGAGAGGAACGAATCCTTCACGCTTCGTAAGCGCTTCGTTGTAGCCAAGCTTACTGCTAGCCTATCGCCTAGATCCAAGCTTCGACCGCGACTGCTCGTCACTTTTGGGCGCCTTTTTCCGTCACCCGAGATCCAAGTTAGCACCGGCAAAGATCTCTTGATTCCTCGCGGCCAGGCCGACTTGGAAGCAAGCTACCTGTCGCCTATCTCACCCCCTTTCTTATTATTAGTAAGATAGGTTGCCCCTTTCCCCTTTCTCTAAGAAGAAGGTAAGCATCCCTCATTGCCGATCGCCTTCAGCAGGGTGAGCCTTCGCTTTTTACACACATAAGGACTGCACATACACAAACAATTAATAATCCTAGCAGCATCTCTAACTCTTGGCCTCTTCTCAGAGTCTGGGTGCACACAAAGAAGCCCTACCACGAGCATCCTCTCTATCTCTAGTGCATAAACCTTGGATCAACAGCATAAATTCCCCGAGAAACAGCATCCACAGAAGCTAAAGATATGATTGTATTAACTCAGAAGATCAAAATTTTATCAGATAAACCAACCAAAAGAGAGAGAAAGCTTCTTCAAGAATGGGTGATCAGAATCAAGAACCCATTGATGCACAAAACCCGTGGAAGTTACAAAAATCATGGATCGAAGAATATATTTCATTTGCTTTTTGTAATAAATTGTGCCTAAATTTCGCCAGCCTAAAGAGGCTGTGCCGGGCTGTGCACTTTCAGCCCATCACATCAAGGTGACAGGATTCGAACCTATGGCCCTCTATACCCAAAACAGATGCGCTGACCAGACTGCACTACACCTCGTCTCACCCCCTCAGCATATAGATCCACCCGATCGATGAACACTCGAACCAAACTCGCCTATCCTTTTTTGGGGCATAGGGACGCGAGAACCTAATCAACCGCTTTTTTTATAAAATATGCCTCCACTCCAGCAAGACAAGATAGGGCGACGCCAAAAAGCCGTATAGTGCAGGAGCGCTCACATTTGATTTTGGCTTCCTCTTTAATTAACTTTAATTTAATAAAACCCGGCTCGGCTACATGTCCTTTGGACCCAAAGCCCTCTTAGAAGTGGATTCGAACCACTGACACAAGGATTTTCAGTCCTTTGCTCTAACCAGCTGAGCTACCTGAACCACTTTCCTAAAGTATGTTTTCTTCATCGAATAGCGCCCTACCTTACTTACCACTTTACTAGTCAGGGAAAAGCCCTTTACTAGTAACAAGAAAGAAAGGGTTTTTTTTCGTTCATCAAGCTTTCGAGCAGCTCTTTCAACTGCCGCCTAATCTCCTCTCCCAACATGCTCAAGAACCGAGAGCCGCCCAGGGACTGCCGGAGGGAGCTTGCTTAGAAAAATAAGATAGGCCGGTCAAAACAACACGCAACGGGCTCTCCGCTTACTAAGTAGTGCTATTCTGTCCTCCGGGGGACTCCACCAACACCAAGAGGTTCTTTCTCTCACGTAATTTCGCCCGCCCGTTCCACTTCCGTGCAGGAGGGAATGGGATTCGAACCCATGATACAATCTTCTTGTATGTCGATTTAGCAAACCAATGCCTTAAGCCACTCAGCCATACCTCCAAGTTGTTGATCGGAATTTGATGTGCGGTTGGTTTCCCGAAGGGCTATCTGATCCGATCAACTGCGTAAGCCGTAGGGCGCTAGCGCGCGTACTCTTCCTCTATCTATGAGCGAGACTCCATAAAAATCTAATCTGCCACTCGTTGGGCGACACCCTCTTTTCTATGAACACCCCACCACTGAATGATGAACTTTTCCAGTCTTCGCCTCCGACCCGACCAAGAGAGAACACAGAGTCAAGCCAAGCCCTTACCCGCCTGAATTGAATTAATATCTCCTTCGTCTGGTCGAGAAGGGATAAAGCCCGGGGAACTGGACTGTGACTCTTCTATTACATTATGGAGAAGTCCATTTTCGTCATGATCGATCCACGTCCTACCGTAGTGCCCGGAGAACCAGGCTTGCTTAACTTACCTTACAAAGATAGCTTACTAACGCGAAGGCCTTTCCTTCACGGGCTTACTTAGTGCTTGTTCTAAGGAGCAATAAAACTGATGCGCTAAGGTTGACGCTCGACCCAAACAAGCAACGATGAGCCCCTATCAGAGAAAGCCTTGGTCAAGCGCGCTAGCGCGCTTTACTTAGAGGTTCGCGCATCCTCTTGCTGGGAGAGGGGCTAATTCCACTCGACTGGTTGAGGAGGGGTGAAGTGAGAGTCAGGAGTTTAGGATTTCGTGCAGCTCAATCCCTTGCTTGTTGTTTTCAAGCTGGAGCTCGCCGGGTAGTTAAGTGGTCCGTGAAGGTTAAATCACACTTGTGTTAAGCAAGCGGAGTAGTCAGACTTCACATTGATTGAAGCAGCTGTTGGATAGAAGACACCAGTCAGACCTGCAAGCACCGGGTAGTATGTAGCGGCAGTTTTCAATCATACAATGTGTACTCGTAGTCTGACTTTTAGCGGTAGTCAGCTGTCCTCATTCTCCTCTTTTCATTGCCCTATTGAGTAAGGGTCGGTGTTTGCAAAAATGTCGAGCCGACGGGGTCAGGTACCAGTAGTGACAATGGCAAAGGGGGGGGGGGAGCTGGACACTGCTGAATCGGAAGAGATTGCTCAGGATGAGTGTCTGGGTAACAAAGCCTAGAAGGGTGTAGTCAAGGTGCGAGTTTAACGAGCGAGGATAATGATTTGGCCCATAGAAGCGAGGATCTGGAAGAGAGGGTTGATACTGGGTCAACTATGGCAGTGACTGAGGGGGACTTGTTCTGTGATAAACAAATGAATGACTCCAAACAAGAACCTCAGGGCAACCAATCCTAAGAAAAGAGGTGAACCTGAAGCAGTAAGAGTAAGCGTTCAGGTGCTGGTGCTATGACCTTTTTTCCACCCTTTTCGAATCGAATGATTCAGCGCTCTCAGAAAGCAGATCAAAGGCTTCCTATTCAACGGATTCAGATTATTCAACTTTAGATGCTTTGGATGCTTCCTCGGCCGCGCAGTACGTACTTCTGTTTGGAGAGTCTGTTCCTTACTTAGCTAGGACTTTGAGTGACTAGAGTAGCCCCTCAATATCCGAAGGCGCCTTTTTGTTTATGCACCTGAAACGGCTTCCGATTTTACTTACTTATAGTAAAGTGGATCGACCCTGTTCAGTAGAATTACTAAGAAAGAAGGCTAGGCTTCTTGAACCAGAGCTAATTCGATCTTCCCCTTTCGACAATGTGTTTGAATAGCAAGCAAAAGTACCACGATCGAACAATTATATTCGGTTAACAAACAACTTATAGAATCAACTACATCCATCAACCGGCATACCTTTCTGTAAGTCTCAGAGTGCCTAAGAGGGGGGGGGGGGTGAATTAGGTCTTATAAAAATTTATTCGGTTTTATGAGAATGCTTGGTAGTAATTTTTAGGTTAAGTGTTTGAAGATTTTGATTATATCTTTATCTTTTTCTGATTATGGTGATGAAAGCGATAAATGCGGAAAAGTAAAGAACACAGTGATATATCCTGGTTCCCCTCACAATCCGAGAGTACTCCAGTCCCCTTTCCAACATGAAAGAGATTTCACTATAGTTAGAATGATTGTACAGCCTATGCTTACTATCTAACCTATAGGGCGATCAAAGGTTCTTAACACCTTTAAGACCAAACAAACACTAATGTGAATGAAGAACAATCCTCTTCAAATCACAACACTTACTTCCAACAATCCTGGATAGTAAGGGAAAATCTTTAAGTAATACAATGATTTAGTTTGAAGTATATGGAGAGCTTTATCAATCTTCAATTGATCTTCTTCTTCAAGATAAAAACAATTCTCAACAATGTATATAAATGTTCACAATGTATGTATGAAACTTGTAATGATAATGAAAGTGTATATGGCAAGTTTCACAAAATTATGAACACATGAAAGTTTATGTTCAAAATGAATGAATGAGAAAATTGTTTTTTGAAGAAGTATAATTGTTAATTTGAAAATTGAAGCATTGTTTTTTGAAATAAGAAAATCTGCATTTTATAAAGTCATAAGAACCACTTCATTCATGCCAATTCATATGAAAAGTTGCAATGCATTCATGAAAAGATACCACTTGAAAAATGTTCAAAAAACAAAGTAAAAGCTACACTGGTTCGCTAGGAACCGGTTCCGACACTGACAGAACCCGGTTCTTAGTGAATGTTATAAGTTGAAATTCAAAAATATCACGCAGGAACCGGTTCTCCTATTGGTACAACCCGGTTCCTAGTACAAAAACCAGGGACATGTTTTTTGAGAAAATCTGGAACCCGGTTCCCTGTTAGGGAGGAACCGGTTCCTAAAGGGTTATTTTCAAAAATACTTTTTGAAAGATATTTCAAACAAAATTTTCCTTGATGTTAAAGTTATGGAATATGTATATGTTGATTAATGCATATTGTGAACATCTATATTCAAGATTTTAAGAATTATTTATACCATTTGATATTTGATGATTCTTCAATAATCTTTAATAATCTTCAAGACTTTTATTTGATGTTGATAAGCTTTTTGCACATCCTTTGAAAGTTGATGTCCATGTTGTCTTCATCAAAACACATGCTTTAAATATGACTTGAGAAGCTTGCAATTACATTCTCCCCCTTTTTGATGATGACAACCAAGTCTTGAAAACGATTTCTTGAAATGTTTTATGTTGTTTTGTATAGCAAACATGTTGAGCAAATGCAAGGCTCCCCCTAAATTGTATGCTCCCCCTAAGTCCATGATTCTTTGAATTTTGGAGTGAGTTTGATATTTATTTGGGCCTGCAATTTCTTTGAAACAAAACAACACATATGCATATTCTTCTCCCCCTTTGTTAACATCAAAAAGGATGGGGAAAAAGAGTGAAATAAATACATATAAAAATTAAGACATGCATCTTAAGAGAAACATTAGATATCACCTTCATCCAAAATACCAAGCTCTCTTCGGATTTTGAAGAAAGGTTCTCGAGCAAGCGGTTTAGTGAAGATATCTGCGAGTTGGTTATGAGTATCCACAAAAGTGACTTCGACATCTCCTTTAAGTACATGATCACGGAGAAAATGATGTCGAATATCTATATGTTTGGTTCTTGAATGCATGACCGGATTCTTTGTAATATTGATAGCACTTGTATTATCGCATC